CAAACATCAGAATAGACAATATGAAACAGAAATTCAGATCTTTTATTTCTCAAAAGAAAAGAGTTTGTACAATGCTTACTCAATTGACACGTCTGACACTGCAACTGACTCATTGACAAAGACTTGAACAAATTGGGAAACATAACTTTTAATGATTCAAAAGAAATATGACCAAGACGACTGTGCCATAAATAGGCTTGACTCTCACGGGACGAACTCAAGAACTCTGTAGCTGCAAGACCAGCTTTATTCTCCAACACGTAGAGACCATCTACCATGCTTCCTCTACTAATCGTCTTCCCCGAGGCCAAATCCTGAAACACACATGAAGACAGAAAGAAGGTAACTGAACAGTTCAAAGAGTGAGTGATACTATTAATGGAAAGTAAATTTATAGGCAATTTAGGAACATGCAACACATTAGAGAGGATAAGGCCAAGTGGGAGAGATATGGTTCCTTGGCCGGTTATGGTGGAGAATGAACCATCATCCAATCTCACCTTATCTCTCCCAGAGAGAAGGTTGTATGCCTGAAATAAATTTGACTTACCGGTCATGTGGTTCGAGGCTCCGGAGTCAATTACCCAAGGAGAATTAGATGTATGAGATGACACATGGAGAGCAGTGGCAGTGTTACCTGATGTAGACGCAAAGGAGGTAGAAGGGGTAGGACCAGAATCCATCTGGCGAAGAGTCCTACCATATAACTCCAAATGGTCACGAAAGGAGTTGATAATCTCTTCCTTAGGGTCAGAACTGGGACTAGTCTCTTGAGATGCCATATTAGCTGAGTTGGTTTCTTACCCTGATCAGATGTTGACTTCTTACACAAATCCTATGCCCATTTAGGTTTTCCATGGAGACCCCAACATGTGTCTCTGGTGTGTCTTGTTTTCTGGCAGTGAGTGCACCAAAGTTTACTTTTGTCATCTGCTCTCTTCTGTGAATCACCCTTCTTAAAGGAACCTCCGACATTATTATCTATACTTCCCCGGACAGCTAGGGCAACTGGCTCACCCTCTGCACAATTCATCACACTTCTTCCACTCTCTTCTGATTGGACTAAGGCATAAACCTCCTGAATTGATGGCAAGTCTTTACTTCCCAAGATCTGTACTCTCATGGACTCGTATGAAGGGTTCAACCCCAAGAGAAAAGCAATTACACGTTGCTGAGAGACAAGTGACTTGTATGCCTTTGCATCTTCATCACACTTCCAATTTACATTCTGGTAGTGATCCAGTTCTTTTCAGATCGATGTCAGATCTGAATAGTACACTGAGAGACTCCTCTCCCCCTGCTTGCAAGTAGAGGACTCAGCTTGCAGTTGGTATATCTTGGCATAGTGCCTTTGCTCTGAATAAGTAGACTTCGCTTGTTCCCATATTTCACAAGCTGTTTCAGCCCACATGAATGCCTTTCTTATTTGTGGCAACATGGAAACCAAGAGCCATGACATAACCATACTATTTTCTTGGTTCCACCTATCATATTTAGCGCTTCCACCCTTCGGTTCCTTCACTTTACCATTAATGTATCCTATTTTCTCCCTAGCTGTTATGTAGAGTTTTATTCCCCTAGACCACTCAAGGTAGTTTAGTCCATCGAAGGGGATTACAGCCATGGGAAAACTCATATCCATTCTCCCATTCAGTCCATTATGGTTTCCTGAAACCCCCGAAGTAGCAGAATTCTCAGCTGACATGGTCAAAACAGACAATCAGTCCCAAACATTGGACTTAAGATCCCTCCTTACTCCAAAAATAAAATTGCTCCACACACGTACTCAGTCCACACCCACACACTTGGGTTTGAAATCAGTCTGAGCACAAACAGTACCAATTTCATGACAAAAAGGCAAGATTCGGCAGATTTCAGACCTGTATGGTTTAACAGTCTCAACCTACCAGCCTTTCAGAATGTCTAAGAACATTAATCAGCAGGAGAGATCCTTAACACTTATAATAAAGCCAAAAAATTGAGATAACAGGTCATCCTTGACCTACCGTCACTTTAACACAGGAACAGGATCACACGATCCAAAAAAGAACAAGAGGTATAAACCTCACAAAGGTCTGACAGCATTCGGCAGCCCAGATTCATTTGGTTTTTTCACTTGGTCTACGACCAAGGAGGGTAAGGAAGAGAAAAAAGGAAGGACTGTACCAGTTGTAGATCTGTTTTCTTCAGCCCAGATTCAGATCTCTGATCCGCCCAGATTCAGCAAGTTGGAAAAGGAAGGAAGCTTGTTCGATCTGTTTTCTCAGTCAGTATTCCCGCTCTGATACTATCTTGACAATGTGGCCGGCCAGAAATAAGAGGAAGAGAAGAGAAGAGAAGAAGAGAGAAGGGAGAAGAGATTGGCAATGGAACAGTGCTGGTGGCTCCAGCTTCTATTAGTATATATAGGGTGGCTAAAATAAAAGGGGAAAAGACCCTTGTGCCACTCTGTAAGTGAAGTACAATAATCAGAAAAATAAAAAAAAGACATTAATCAACCAAACAGACCCTACCAAGACGAGACTAAAAGACAAGAAATAAAATAAACTATTTCAACAAGTTTGATGGGTGTCACCTGGACACTTAAAAAATCAGAGGAGATCATCACACTCGATTTCTGGTCACCACTCGAATCACCCACCGACGCCATTTCAATCTACAAAACTTGTTCTGCCCGTCACACACACAAAAGAGAGGTTTCAACCACTGCACTACTGTTCTTCAACTACCACACCAGCACAGTTATAGTCACCACGAGCTTGCCCTAGCATGCATTCAGTCACTTTGAACACCACTGATCTGTGAACAGGCAGATTTAAAAACACAGAGAATCCCTCTTGAAACTGCTCATTAGAGGGTTCAGACCACAACTACTGCACCTACTCGACCACCACAGCTGTCACGCATAGTGACAGCAGTCCACAATTTTTTTTTTTTTTTTCTGTTCACTCAAACTGCTGCAGTCGTCTACTGTTACCAGAAGTTAACCCACCGAAACCCTAGATGTTGCCGCAGAAACCTGGGTTTCGTTGCAGTCCTCTAACCCAGATTTCTCACACCAGAAAAAAAAATGGAAAAGAGAGAAGAAGAAAGAAGAGAGAAGAAGGCTGCAGTCGACTTTTATTAGTGGCGCTCTGATACCATGTTAGTATTCAGCCGAACTGAGAAGAGAGAGAAAAGAAGAAGAAGAAGAAGAAGAAGAAGAAGAAGAAGAAGAAGAAGAAGAAGAAGAAAGGAGAATAGTGTCGAACTGAGAAGACCAACAGTCTAACCCAGTCGACCATATGTTAAACTTGGTAAATAAGTATACAAAGACAAAAATGCCCCTATCTAGACAGAAGGCATATAACTAATACATTATTGATATGGAAAAGACTGAAATGCCCCTGTTTAGTCAACTCTAACACTATCTTTCCATTCTCTTGTATTCTGAAACTAACGGATATACAGATCTGAACTTTATCAGGGAGTAATGGAAATAAGGAAGCTTATTGTATCCAGACTGCTGCCAAACACAGTACGGGAGGGGGAAACACCTGACACAGCTGAATCTTCAGAGCCCATTACAAAGGACACCTAGAACCTTTTGCTAACACTTCAATCTACCACTGAAATCACACTAATGTGACAGTTCACACAGATCTCAGCCCTCTTATATCAAGCAGCCACAATCCTCACAACCAATAAATAGAGAATAGAAGCAAACTGACCTCACACAACTTAATGAAAATCCCTTTTCAAAGGTAGACCGTATATTCCAGCCCCATTCAACAGTATACAACAATCCTAGCATGCAGATAACAACATATATTTCCATCACACTGAGAAAAATCACTGCTGCAAACCATTTAAGACCACTCTTCAACATACTGAGTGTCCAGACATACCAAACAGGAAACAAAGCAACCCAGAGAAACTCAGTATGCACTCACTGAGTTCTATTTTGTTCCCTTGAAAGAAGTTCACATCCTCCATGATCTAAAAAAAGAAATTGAATAGAGCATCTACACTCCCATCTTCAATCACCAGTCACCACAACCAATTCTTCTCGGTACTATGACCAAGAGTAAATAAGGAAAAAAACAGAAATAAATGATTTGTAGATTATCACCAACATTCCGAAGGCCTTCTCCTCTAATCAGCAGATTGTTTTTGCAGTTTGAGAGAAAAAAGAATAAAGAGAAGATTCAGATCTGCTCAGAAAGGTGCTGTGATATCATGTGATCAGATCTGAACAGAAGAAGCCAAAAGTGGATTAGGCACCACCCCCACTCTTATTTTATTAGGGTGACATAAATAATATATAAAGCGAGAAGAATACCCCTGCACATATAATGAGACAATTTACAACAGATACCAACTAGTGTAGGGGCTGGTAGATAGAAGACAAGGTTGATGAGTAGCCTTGCTTCAAAATTAGTTGTTGGCTCATTTCTAGTAGCAGAGAACCATTAGAAAATCACAATGGGAAAAGAAGAAATCATGTTGTTTTCCCAACACTGATTGAATAACAATTGTAGAGAAAAACAAAAGCTAACTCATTCAATTGCCATTCAGCTCTGCTGCTCTGAGAGGCTTACATGTATATATAGAATTCTCAAGGCTTAGAGATTTGGAAATTACTAAAACCACAGCCGACTCCTAATTAGAATCCTAGAAACTCAAAAAATAGAATCACAGGAAAATAGTAGTAGACTAAACTAATAATTTCCTAAACAAAAAGGGGAAACTACCAATTGCACATCTTTTAATACAGATGGTAGGAGCCATAAATTTAGAAACTGCTATAACTCTCTAGAAATTGATTTCTGAACCTTCCATGATGTAGAAGGCTGTACTGGATCAAGTTGTAATGGCCGAATTCTTTTTTTTGTAAAATGTGATTAGACATTGCCTTTGTCGTTTTTGTTTTTGTTCTTTTCTTTAGTGCAATCTCTCTTATTGCTTTTTGTCTAGAAGGTGTGCCTGATATTTAATAGTATTAATTTTTAATATTCCAGGATCTTTTGCTCGTAGATTGGCGCAAGAATTTCCAATGTGGCAGGTAATATTTTGAGAAATTGCCTCTTGATTTGGTTTCTGTCTTCCAAAGATTTTAGAGAGAGAATGTGACAACTCAAACCTTACCAGATTTCTATTTAAGCCCATGCTTACTTTTTAGTATAAATTAACAATAAATACCTTGTTTATTCAAGAAGAAAAGGTGTAGAAATAAACAATGAAAAAGGTATTTAATCAAGAAGAAAAGGTGTAGAAAGGGAAGTAGGGATTCAGAAAAATAGAAGAGAGAAGAAAGTGGAAGAAGAGGGAGATGGAGAAGAGGGAATCATAGTCCTCTCCTGTCTCCTAATCGATTCTTTTATTAGATTCATTATAATGAATGCAAAATTACATAAATGCCCTTAATAGGGTGGCTGACTATAAATAACTATAAACATAAAGATAAATGGTTAACAGACCCATTAAAAAGAGGCCCATTAACAAGAACAAAATAAAAGGCTATTTAAGAACTGTTGACAGATGGCCCATCTTTTCTACAAAAGATTTTCTAGGCTACAGATAAAAGACATACAAAATTCTGACACTGATGGGAAACCAGTTCTCCAGAAACTGTCCAGAGCTCAAATTGGTTCATTATGCTCCCTTTTACCATGATGTTTTCTTCCAGGAATCTGTCTGTGTTTTAGGTGCACTATACACAGAGAGAACCCTACATTCATATATAGATGTAGTGTGCAACTTTTGAAATAGGTACATGTCTCTGATCTTAAAGCTCGTATTTTTATTTCTCCATCTTCTCTTTACATCTCACAATTTTCAGCACAATAGCACTATACCATGTGGATATTAGCAAAATGACTATTTTTCATTATTCGTCATCATAATCATCATCATCAATTCATGCCTTTTCCCAACTCTATGCGGTCAGCTACATGAACCCTGTTTTGCCAATCCGTGCTATTTGAAGCCATATCCACTGTTAAATTTTTAGTGCTTAAATCATTTCTTACTACTACCCATGTCCTTTCTGGTCCACCCCCAGCTCTTCTAGCCCCTTCAATGTGTAACAAATCATTTCTAACTACACAGTTGGCGGTCTTCTATGCACGTGTCCAAACCATCTTAGTCTACTTTCTCTCATTTTATCACCTATTGGATCTACTTCTAGGTTCACATGGATAACTTCATTCCTAATCCTACTCTTTCTAGTTTTTCCACTCATCCATCTTAGCATTCACATTTCTGCTACATTCATTTTCTGGACATATTTCTGGACTGCCCAACACTCTGCTCCATACAACATAGCTGGTCTTATAACAGTTTTATAGAATTTTTCTTTTAATCTAAATGGTATTCGCCTATCACATAAAAGTCTAGATGCACCCATAGTTGTCAAGGCGACTAGGCGCTTTTTTTTGCTTGCTTTGCCTAAATGCCAAGCAACACCAATAGTTGTCAACATGAATTTGTGAGTTTCTTTTTATATGAGGGTTCGAATGATACAGAGCTCTTTACCAAAAAAAAAAGCGATAAATTAAAAACTGAAGTTCAGTGAAGTTCAAAGACTTCGAAGATTTTGAAGCGACAAAGAACTGAACTTCACTGACGTTCAAAGACTTAGAAGATTTAAAAGAGTGAAGACATAAAGCAACAAGTAACTCCAGTCGAACACAGGAATGTTCGACTTCCAGAACAGCGCCTTCTTCTTTTTCTGGGATAAGAAATAACCCTCTCTCCTTAAATTTTTGATTCTTTTCCTTTCTTTTTTGGAACAAAAACAGGGGCTCCACTCCTTAAATTTCTGTTATCCATTTGACTTTTTTCTCTGTTTGTTTGAAATGATCATCATTTTCAAGTTCTTTTCTTGCATTTTTTTTTTAAAACAAGAACAGGGGCTTCACCCCTTCATATTTTTTAGCGTTTTTTCTTTCTCTTTTCTGAGACAAAAAAAGGGGCTCTGCCCTTGACTTATTTGTTGATTTTTTTTCTTCTTTTTCTATGACAAAAGAAGAGCAGCCCCTTCTTTTACTAGGCGATGGTTATTTCTAAGACACTATCCTTGAAACAGTAGGAAGAAAATGATTATTTCTGAGAAACTAGCATTGAAAATTACAAAGAAAAGGTTTATGTCTGAAACACAACCCTAGAAACACTGGGAAAAACAAGTTTACTTTTGACACACTAGGCAACGCCTAGGCGACTAGGAGATTAAGTTCTCCCTTGTCGCGTAGGTTCACCTGGGCGCCTTTAAAATTATGAATGCACCCCTCCATTTTGCCCAGATCGTTTTCCATTATTATTTATTTTAAATAGTTTACAAAAAAGATAGGACATTACCTGCTGAAGGAAGTGAGAAGAGAAAGTTGGGTGTCACACTGATTCCAGGACATTTATGATTGACTGATCAGATGGTCTTAATCTGCCAGCTTATCTGTCTACATTGCTGAAACCCCTGTATTGATTCCTTCAAACAACACAGAGTGAATAGAATATCTTTGCTGTATATTATTGTCTTAGAGTTTTTCTGTTACTATTTAGAATGTACATCTCTTTATAATTTTCTGTTGATACAACACAGATGCATTAAGTTTGATCTATAACTTTCTTGTTTCTTTCCAATATTTGTGAGAAACTTCATTTTTCTGTTTTGTCATTGTATGCAGTTTCTATTAGTAGATTTGCGTTGCCATGGCGATTCAGCATCTATTAAGAAGAGAGGACCTCATACTGTTGCTGCAGCTGCACTTGATGTCTTAAAACTCGTGAGTTATTAACCAATAGTAGCAACTTGTGCATATTATTTCCTTAGTTTTATCTATGTTGTGTGAAAGTAATATAAAGTCAATTCTATATTTTTGTTAATTAATTTTGATATATAGGTGATATTTTTTTAATTAAAGTATAAAATGGAGGGTTCCTGTTGGAATCTGCCCAACTCAGACACCAGCTTTGAGAGCAGTGTGACCTCCTGTGAAAGCGAGAGAGAGAGAGAGAGAGATCAACTGAAAGGAACAACTTTCTATTTAATTCAGTCATTATTATTTCTTATTTATAGCCTGAGCTTATATCGAGTAATGGATTACAGTTGGAGTTCTCCCACTTGGATTCTTTTTAGTTAGTTGAGATCCAAAAGAAAAACTTTGAATCTGTAGAAATTCTCTCCACATCTGTTCAATCCTTGAATGTTCCTAAATCTCCAAGTGTTCGTCTGCGGTCTTATTTATTATTATCTCTTATATTGATTTTTTCTTATATTTTACTGCTCTATTTTGCACTCAATAGGTAGCACAGCTCAGATTAACACCTCGTGTCTTAGTTGGTCACAGCTTTGGAGGCAAAGGTATGCTGTGGCTACTACGGCAGGATACTGCCTCATGTTTGAAATCATTTACTTCTAAGAGCTCAGGAAAACTAAGTGCTTTAAGTTTCTCATTAATGATCTACGCAGTTGCACTGAGCATGGTTGAACAAGCTGCAAAGCCTCTTGCACGACCAGTCAGAGTAAAGTTACACTATCCTTTCTTGTTAAATCTTTGGTTCTAAACAAAGTGAACCTTTTAATGGTTGGCAATATTTGTGCTTTGGTGCTTATTCAGGTTATTCTTTTCATTCTTATCTTCTAATATATCTTTGATGCTTTTCTTGAAGGTTTGGGTTCTAGATGCAACTCCTGGAAATGTCCGTCCTGGTGGAGATGGAGAGGATCATCCTGCTGAACTGATTTCTTTCCTAAGCAGGATGCCAAAGCAGGTGCGTTTTCTTTCAATAGTTCCAACCAATGATTTCTTAAGTATATTTTGCCTTTGCTCTTTCATTTTTTTTTTTCATTTTTTTTGTTCTGTGAAAAGGTTGTGAACTTTATTGAATATATAGTCTACTTTACCAGTAAATAGTAAGCTAATATCATTGATTATTATTGACGGCTGGCTAGTTCTTTTATTGCTTCTTTGTGTTCTAGGCTTTATATTATTTGTTTATTTGTTACTGGGCCATTGGCATTTATTAATAGTTCCTTCTTTTCTATTGCCGAGCTGCCTAATTGGGGGCATACATGCAATTGCCTCTTCAATTAACAGAAGTAAATACGTATGTGTTATGTTAATGTGATCTGACATTGAGACCCATGATTAGAGTAGTTTGAATAGTTTCTCCTTCTAAACATTTGTATTTTTTTTTGTTAATTAACAGGAATTTTATTAAAAAGGGAACAATATGTACTGTTAACTGGTGTATTATATGTACTGTACACTGGTTTAGTACCCATGGGGGTATTTTCGTAATTCTGTATACATTTTGTTATGTATGGCCAGAACAGTATAAATAGAAAGCTTCACTCAACTGAAGCTATGTTTTTGTTGAGGCCTTAACTCAGTTGCCTCTTATTCTTCTTCCTCTTCTCCTTTCTTCTTCTTTTCTCCTTCTTTTCTTCTTCTTCTTGGTCTCCTACTCAACATGGTATCAGAGCAGGTTCGTCCATGCCTAGAAAACAACTAGCTGAGGTCTCTCTCCTCTGCTGCAAAGGAGTTATAGTACTGATGCTCGAAGACAAGGAAGAGGAAGTTTTTCTAGTGCTGCGGTTAGTCTCCACTGCCGAGTAGGGCTCTGCTACAAGTATGCTGACTGTTCAACTTCCTAGCACAGAAAAAAGGTTCGGCTACATGTTTTTTTGCTGGTAACTGGGTTGCTTCGACTAAGAGGACTGTAGAAATCCATCCCAGATGTTCGAAGGAAGGCTCTGACCTGAAGGGGAGTTCG